TCTTCTTTACGGCTGAATACATATGGCATGATTCCCACTGCTGAGAGTTAAACAAATGAGTTAGTGCTAAACTACATTTATAGATGTTTTATTCCTTATTTTGAGAGTCTCCTTGATCATTAATTAGGTGAGTGTGAACTTCACGTTGTCATCTTGCTCATTCACCTTACCATAGTGCTGGGATTATAAGAAGGCACCGCAATGTTGAATTTACCCCACATGCTCTGTTTCCATGCATTCCATGGTAGGCATCTAGGCTGTTAGGAGAACTTCTGTGTTTGATTTATTTCCAGAACTTATGTACTGTGAATACCTATGCACATTCTGCATTGAGCATGTTTATGTATGTACAACTACGATATCATAAATGTAAACTGTTTCAAGGTATACATAGAAAGGTTCCCCTGGATCATAAGTAAACTACTATTTTTACATTTGAGATATCTACATACTGATTATCAAAAGGGTTCCTTTTATATTCATATAAAATATAATGTATGAAAGTGTCTTCTAGGTGTATCATTAAAACATGATACACCAATTCGGGAGGATTAGGTGAGTATGAACTTCATGTTGTCTGGTTGTCTTATGCTATACACATCTGGCAGATGCTCTGAAACATCTATTATTACACAAGCATTAAGTTGTCTTTTGAACCCTGCTTCCAGAATAGCAATGTTTTAGATAGCGTATATTTTATACGCATAGAGAGAGAAATAGATGAGATTCTTGAAGATGAGATTCTCTCAAAGGTAAGCAGCTATTCTTTTCATATATGACTATACACATTATTTTTTTAATATTTATTTATTTTTATTTATTACATTTATTTATTGTGTGTGTGTCTGTGGCCAGCTCAGCCCACCAGGGGGCGGGGCTGGCTGGCATGTGGTGCTGGAGGATGGAACCGAGGTCCCTGTGCTTTGCCAAGCTTGTTTCAAGTAGGTGATTTAGACCACTGAGCCATCTCTCCAGCCCCCTATACACATTATTTAAATGCAAATTCATACATTTCCATGATGTTGATCATGAAAGACAGTGTTTTTTGTTTCACAGTATTTGCACTTCCATGGCAAGCACAAGACTCTGAGTTCAATCCCCGGGTCTGTCCAAAAAAAAAATCAACCTGTATGCATACCAAGAGAATTTGGGGGGAGATTCAGTAAATGTCAATATAATCTAATTTGTCTAGTTTTCTTGGTTATAATATTTCTGCTCACATACTGACTCTTAAGAGAATGTTCCTTCCCTTGTAATTGCAAATTACCTTAGATTTCTCAAGCAAGTTTTATACTCTTCAGCTTGCTGGTTGTCCCAGGTCCTTCCTGAATTGTAGCCAGAGAAATGCAAAAGTCACTACATCATCATATAACAATTAGCAGATAGCGATTAGAGTCATGGTATAATGTTAACAGGCCTGAATTATTCTTCAAAACATTTCTACATTCTATTTAATACATCACTATCGATGAACAAGAACCAATGCTCGCTGATAGCATAAGCGAGAAACAATGTAATTCTGGGGTCTGGGAGATAGTTCAGTAGAATAAGCACTTGCCTGGCAAGCACAAGATCATGAGTTCAATCCCCCCTACTGAAAAAAGAAAGAATGTCATTCTTACCTATATCAGTCAGATTCATAAATGTTTCCCACATCACATCTCTGTACAGCTTCTTTTGGGATGAATTTAATAATGCCCACTCCTCCAAGGTGAATGTCACAGCAACATCCTCCAAGGAAACTGGCTCCTAAATAATCACAGATATGTGTCCTGAAACAAGGTTGAAACTCACACCTTGAAACATCTGAACTCCTCTTGTGAAGGCTGAACTGAGTTTGATTCCTTCTAGTATGCACCCCATGTCTTGGTCACCAAACCCATGTGGGTGTACATATTTTCACATAACAATTCTGATAGTAGATTACAATATACCACTACATCAATACCAGAATTCTAACACTCATTGCCTCAAAAGTTAACAGAAATTTTATTTCTGCACTGTTTTTATTTTATTTTTTTAAAGGCTACCTTTTTAAAAATTTATTTATTTATTTAGTGTGTGTGTGTGTGTGTGTGTGTGTGTGTGTGTGTGGCCAGCTCAGCCCACCAGGGGGCGGGGCTGGCTGGCATGTGGTGCTGGGGCACTGAACCACGGTCCCTGTGCTTTGCTAAGCTTGTTCTAAGTAGGTGCTTTAGACCACTGAGCCATCTCACCAGCCCCTCTGCACTGTTTTTAAACAGAGCTCATAGAATGACCCTGAAAATCACCATCCACAAAAACACAGGAGAGGATAAAATATTAAATGAATAGTTCTGATAGACCATTGTTTATACCTCTTCAAATCTTACTATTCATAGAATTAATCCATTCTTTCTTTGATTATGAACTCTAACACAAGGAATCCACCTGGCAATTCAAGCAATTAAGCAGAAGGGAAAAAATGGGAGCCAACCACAGGAAAATCACATGACAAGGATAAGTGAATGGATATCAGGTATAACCATCAATGCTAATGGCCTCAATTTTCCAATCAAAAGATATAGGTACACAGAATGGATTAAAAAATAAGATATGATGTGCTACATACAAGAGACATATATAATTCAGAAATTCCTATACTTAAAGTCAGTATTCCATGTGAAAAGAACTGAAAATTAAAAAGGAAACAAAACAGGCATAGCTATTTTACTTGTAGACAAAATGGATAATAATCCAGGACTAAGTGAAACAAAGAAATCACTATATCCTTGTAAAGGAAAAAAAAACTAATAAGGGACAATAATGATACATATATGCAAACAATACCAGTGTACCCAACTAATAAAACAAGTATCAATGAACATAAGCATTAATAAAACCATAATGGGGAACTATCCAATAGACCACTGTCACAAATAATCAGATCAGCTAGACAAAAAAATCAACTGTAAAATATTAGAACTGAACCAAACTTTGAGCAGATAGACTCAGAAGATGTTTACAGAGTGTTCCACTCAATAACATCAGAGGGCTGGTGAGATGGCTCAGTGATCTAAAGCACCTACTTAGAACAAGCTTAGCAACACACATGGACCG